GCAGCGGCAACGGCAGTCGCAGTCACAGCCTCAGCCTCAGCCTGCCTCAGCCTCAGCCTCAGCCTGCCTCAGCCTCAGCCTGCCTCAGCCTCAGCCTCAGGCCTGCTTCAGCCTCAGCCTCAGTCTGCCTTCAGCCTCGGCCTCAGCCTCAGCCTGCCTCAGCCTCAGCCTGCATCAGCCTCAGCCTCAGCCTCAGCCTGCCTCAGCATCAGCCTGCCTCAGCCTCAGCCTCAGCCTGCCTCAGCCTCAGCCTCAGCTGCTTCAGCCTCAGCCTCAGTCTGCCTTCAGCCTCGGCCTCAGCCTCAGCCTGCCTCAGCCTCAGCCTGCCTCAGCCTCAGCATCAGCCTGCCTCAGCATTCAAAATGTGGCCCGGGAATGGAATTCTGGGAACTCGAAGAACACGAAGTGGCCTACAGTTGGCTCCGGGCATTCAAAATCATGCCCAGGAATGGAGTTCTGGGAACTCGAAGACACGAAGTGGCCTACAGTTGGCTCCGGGCATCCAAAATGTGGCCCGGGAATGGAGTTCTGGGAACTCGAAGAGCACGAAGTGGCCTACAGTTGGCTCCGGGCATCCAAAATGTGGCCCGGGAATGGAGTTCTGGGAAGTCGAAGAGCACGAAGTGGCCTACAGTTGGCTCCGGGCATCCAAAATGTGGCCCGGGAATGGAGTTCTGGGAAGTCGAAGAGCACGAAGTGTGTGACTGTTGGCTCCGGTTATTCAAAATGTGGCCCGGGAATGGAGTTCTGGGAGGTCGAAGAGCACGAAGTGTGTGACTGTTGGCTTAAAACGAGCCCGGCTCTGTTCCCGGCCCTCCTCCCCGGCACCCGCCCAGACCCCCCTGTGGAGTCCAGATGCTCTCTTTTGACCCTACTAGAAACCTATCAGCAAAAGCTGTTAGGTAATAATGATAATAATAATGATAATAATGATAATAACAATAATAATACTAATAATACAATACTGTAATTAAGAATAATAATACTGATGATGATAATGATAATAATAAGAATAATACGATATATAAATATAAATATAAATATAAATCGTTCCCTGATCATTTGTTGACTATTTTTGCAAATTCCTCCAGTCGAGGGACATGCCCGACTTAAAGCGACGGTGCCACGGCCTCCCAGCGTGGCGGCTGAACCAACGGAAAAAACTGCCGGCGGCCCCCGTCCGGCAGCCTCGGCGACCCGAGAGCGCTGCCGAGCACCGAGGCCTGGGGACCACCAAACGAAGACCCGCAGCGACAGGCCACGGGTGCGGGGCTCTGCGCACGGGCAGCCCCCTGGATGCGGTCGACGCTGGCCTACGAGATGCCGTGAGGGCAGCCTCGGGCCGGACGAAAATCTGGAGTCCCGAAACGGTGCGGTGACAGATCGTGCGGTGACCTCGAAATCTCCCAAGACCTCACCGCACGGTCCGTCACCGAACGGTCTCGGGACCCCGGAGGCCCCTGTCGCCCGAGATGTCCTCGGAGAACGACCCGAGTCCCGAAACCGTGCGGTGACCCCGAACCCCCACAGACTCACCGCCGCACGGTGTGGTCACCACCCCAACCCCGAGAAAAAGAGGAGGGGCAGAAAAGGCGGGCTTGCGAATCCGCTCACGTAGCTGCTTTTTCTGGCGCCTCCTGGCGCCGGAGGCGTCGATGCATCAAGGAAAGGCACCGGCGTCGGGGCTCGAACGGGCTGCGCGCAGCAGATTTCGTAACCTGTCCCCATTCTCCATTGTCCGTCCGACCCGAGAATCCTAGTAGGTCTCAGCACCCCACCCTGGGGCGCGGAACGCCCCACGAGCGCCGCTGGAGGCGGCGCGGTGGTGTTGAGATCGCCGCGGACTGCCCTGTGTGCCTCTTGAGGCCAGCCAATGACCACCCGCGGTGGCGGCGATGATCGGGTGTTGCCAAAGGTGTCCTTGGGCCAAGGCGTCCCTAGGATTCCCGAGACCCAGATGGCCTTCGGAGCACCCCTCACGAGGCCCAGAGGCCCCAAGGGGCTCGCTTCGCGCGCGCTTCGCGCGCGCTCAAGTTCTAGCTCAGGCCGGGGGGGCGCTGGAAGATCTTGGACAGCGCTATCAAGCACAGGCGCGTGACATAGTCGTGCCTCCTGAGGGCCTCTTAAGGACCTCTTAGGTCTTCGCGGGGGCATCTGGAGGGCTTCTGGGGGGTTCTCCGTGCTTTCTGAATATGCTGTTGGAGGCACCTATTGGGTGCTTCTCAGGGGGGCGTCTTGGGGCTTCTTGGGGTCCCTTGGGAGCATCGTCGAAATTCTCTGGGCAATCGGAAGGTGATGTTCTGCAATAATCAGAAGCCGTCATCGGCCGTCTTGGCTGCGTGGAGGCCCGACTTGAAGGCGCCTGGGGCCACACTGAGGCAATCTGGAAGCCTCCCGGGGGCCTCATGCAGACAGTTTAGATGCATCGAGGGCACTGTTGGGCAATCTTGGGGCCCCTTGTACGTCTCCTTGGGGCCTTTCGGGACCAGTTGAGAGGGGGCCTCGCCGGACCACATGCATCTTGGGAGCCCTTCGGGGGCTTCTGGCGGCGTCTTGGGGGCCTCCAGGGCGCTTCTTGGAGTCTCCTACGGGCTTTTTGGGGCCGAAGGCTCGCAAGGTCCGTTCGGATTCCCTGTCTGGGCCCCTTCTTAGAGCCGTCTTGGGGCTATCTTGGACCGTCTTGGAGGCCTCTTGGGCTGCTTGGGTCCCTCTCGGGCTGTCTTGGGGCCGTCTTGGGAGCCTCTTGGGTTGTCTGTGGGCGATCTCGGGAGCCTCTTCGGCTATCTCGGAGCGTCGGGAATCCGGCAAGGTGAGAACCACAGAAAAACATCAAAAACCCTCGAATAACAAACATTTGTTGCCTCTTGTGACCCTCTTGAAAAAGCCTCTTGGAGGCCTCTTGGGGCGTCTTGGAAGCCTCTTGCGCCGTTTAGGGACTATCTTGAGCGTCTTAAACCGATCTTGTGGCGTCTCGGAGCCCTCATGAACATCTTGGGTGCTTCCTGGAGCCGTCTTGGAGGCCTCCCGGAGGCCTCCTGGGCCGTCTGAAGGCCCCTTGGAGGCGCCAGGGCGGGGGTATCAAAAAGGGGGCCCGATGGTTTTGAGGTGGGCGGGGCCCCCGGGCTGGGGACCTGGTATTCATCCATATCATATATATACATATATATGTATGTGTATATATATGCACATATATATATATATATATATATATATATATATATGTGCAAATATGTATGTGTATACATGTGTGTGCGCGTGTGTGTAAATGTATATATACATGTGTATATATACAAATATTCATACATATAATACATATACAAAAACATATACATAAACATATACATATACATATGCATATACATATACACATACCTATACATATACATATACATGTATATATATGTTTATATATATGTATATCATACATATACATATACATATACATATACATATGCATGTACATATTCAGATACAAATACAAATACATATTCATATACAGATACAGCTACATATACATATATATACATACATATACATATACATATACATATACATATACATAAACATATGTATATGTACAGAGGCATATACGAACATACATGCATATATACGTACGTACATGCATGCATACATACATGCATACATGCATGCATGCATGCATGCATGCATACACATATATACATAATTACAAATAAACAAACATACATACATACATGCATGCATACATGCATGCATACCTATCTACCTGCCTACCTCCCTACCGTCATACCTACCTACATACCTACCTACGCACGCACGTACGTACGTACGCACGTAGATACATACAGAAATACATAGATGCATACATGCACACAAACATATGTTCGTTCATTCATTCATACATACATGCATACATGCATGCATATAATCATAAAATACATTCATGCATACACACATACACATACAAGTAGATTGATATGTTTATACAATGTCAGACAATAATGATGTTATGGGCATATGCCTACACATACATACATATACAAACATATATTACGCTACACTACACTACACTACACTGCACTACACTACACTACACGATTCTGCACTGCAGTGCACAACACTTCTCTACGTCACATTACGTCACACTTCATGTACACTAAACTACCTACAGTGCACACAGACATACATTACATTACAGTATTGAGATGGCATTACATGTCATTGCAACGCATTACATCATATTACACTACACTACACTACATTGCAATACACCACACCAGTCGATCACAATAGTAGGTTACATTACAATACATTAGTCACTACATTACAACGCACCACTATATTACATTACAGTAAACTCGTAATTTACATTTCACTACACTACATTGAGAACAATACAATAAGTTACATCACATGGCATTGCATCACAATACATTACAACACACTACAATAAACTGCAATCATCTAAATCACATGACATACATACAAACATTCATACACATAAACATAAACATAAACATAGACATAAATACACATATACATACACATATAGATACATATATGTAGAAGAAGCCATCCGAACACTGCATGGACAGAATTTGTTGGAAGTCCGCGCAGATTTCTTGGCGCTGGACCTCCCTCCCTGGCGGGCGGAGCGCGCCAGGGGCGGCGCCGGAGGCGCCGCCAGGATGGCTCAGCGCAAACCAACAAATCCGCACGGAGACCTGAAATCATGATTATGCGGCTTTCCGTTCTTCGAAAAAACACTGGGGGCACCCAAGACGAGGACGACAACTCGGCGGCGAGCCGAGGGGGGAAGTGAGAGGGGGAAGCCTTTCTCAGAAGGCGACGGGGATTCTCAGAAGCCCTCGCGCCTTCTAGAAGGCTTCAAAAACTTCTCAAGGCCAGAAGCATTCCGAGCCTTCTGAGAAGGCCCGCCCCCTCTGCATCCCTCCCTGGACTCGCCGCCGATTCCTGCAACACCCGAGACAAGGACGAGGACGAGGTAGAGGAGTAGCAGCAGGCCTCCGTGCAGCCAGAGTGCAAGACCGGGAACTGGTCGCGGAGCGCCACGGAGACGACCTGGTCGCCGGCCTGCAGAAAACAGCGAAGGCGACCATCACAACCATAACGACGACGACGACGACGACGACGACGACGACGACGACGACGACGACGACGACCACAACGACCACGACGACGACGACGACGACGACAACGACGTCGACGGTGACGGCCGCGGCGGCGCCGCCGCCCATCGCGAGCCTGCCCCATCCCGATGTTGGAAAACCGCCGAGAACCGACGGAAGAACTCGAAAACCTCAAACCTCGAGCCTCGGCTCTGCCGAAGGATCCTCCCTCCCCCGCAGCAGTGGCCTGCTGCGGCGGCGGCTCCGTCACGCCAGCCGGCAGCGCGCGCAGCATCGGCCGCGCGGCCGCGAGGTGGCTTGCCTTGTCCTCCAGGTCGGCCCACCTGCCGGGACCCCAGGAGCGGTCACCTTCCTCCGTGCCCATCCTTCCTTTTATCCCTTCCCTCCTCCGTTCCTATCCTTCCTCCGTCTTTCTCCCTGTTCCTCCCAGCTCCTCTCTCTTTCCTGCCACCTTTCCACCGCCCGCCTCCCTTCCTCCTCCCCCCTCTCTCCCTCTTCCCTCACTCCTCCCTCGCTCCCTCCTTCCCTCGAAATTCAAAGCCAGAAATATCATATTGTGCAAAAGTCGCGCAGATGGGGCGGCCATTGTTGAAAATGGGGATTTCGCTGGACACCTCGCTGAGCCGTGTGATCATACTTTCTCGCATTCATTTTTTTTGCTAGAGGGGTGCACGGCCGTTCCTTTTCGAGACGGGGCTCTCGCCTGAATGGCAGGCCAATGGGGAGATGATCCCTCAAGAGGCGTTTGTTGTGGTGAGCAAAATGCTTGTGTGGACTTGTGGGGAGGGGACTCGGGACGGGAGGGTGCACTGCAGCATCGTTGGTGGATCTTGGGTTTATTCAGGTCCTCATCCTCCTCCCGCTGCTCCTCCTCATCCTCCTCCTCCTCGGCGTCCTCCTCTTCCTCCTCCACAGTCTCCCCCTCCTCCTCTTCTTCCTCCTCCTCCACCACCTATCCTTATTCCTTATTAGAATATACTCCTACTCCCCCCTCAGGCCGGCAGATAGGGGCCGCATCCGGGTGGTCCCATCCTGACCTGTAAAAAACAATACAAAATCAACATTTTTCTTATTTTTTCCTCTCGACATGGACGTCCTGTCGTCCACGGCGATAATCCATTGCAAAAAATACCACAAAGAGCACACGCGCGCGTTCATGTCAGAATCCTACCGAACACCGTGTGTTTGCAAGCATTTCAACATAAAAACATCAAAAACCCAATGCTTTTTCACAAAAATTCTACAAATTTCCTGCCCGGGCTCTCTTGCTGAAATCATAGGAAAACCATAGGAATCTTAAGAATTCGGTCAAATCCAGCGATTTCACGTCATCGCGCGGTGCACTCGCGATGCTCTGTCATGCACCCAGGCCGCGAATCCTGTGCAAAAAATACCACGCGGGCGACATGCGCGCGCGTCGCCGCGAGCGCATGCTCAAATCCTTCTAGAGTCGTCGCCGTCATTGGCACCGTCGCATGGACGTCCTGTCGTCCACGTCTCAAAATGCATGGCAGGAATGGGACGCGGCGCACACCCCGCGCCCGCCCATCCAATCCGTCCCATTCTAATATGCAAAAGACAATACACAGTTTTTGTTACTACTACTACTACTACTACTACTACTACTACTACTACTACTACTACTACTACTACTACTACTACTACTACTACTACTACTACTACTACTACTACTACTACTACTACTACTACTACTACTACTACTACTACTACTACTACTACTACTACTACTACTACTACTACTACTACTACTACTACTACTACTACTACTACTACTACTACTACTAGTACTAGTAGTACTGCAAGTACTTGTCATAGCACTAGTTTTTCTGTTACTACCACTACCAACACCACTACCACTGGTACTACTACTCCTGCCTCTTGGGGCCTCCTGGGCCCCCTTGGGGTGTCCTGTCAGACCGTCGGGCTTCCTCCGGCCACCTCTGGCTTCCTGCGGTGTACCGGGCCATTCTCGACTCGTCTGGCAATGCGTGCGCGGCATTCAACACGCGCTCGCCAGTTCCCGTCGGCAACCGCCATCGCGGCCGCATCAGCTGTACCAAACCGGCTGGCCGGTGTGACTTCGGCCCCCAGTTGTGCCAGCTTTGCTTCTTATGTTGTGGGAGGGCGGGTGGGACTGGGCATGCCATGCTTGACTCGCTCGAGCTGGCTAGCTTGATTCCTACTCCTACTCCTACTCCTTCTCCTCCTCCTCCTCCTCCTCCTCGTTTTCGTCCTCCTCCTCCTCCTCCTCCTCCTCCTCCTCCTCCTCCTCCTCATCATCATCATCATCATCATCATCATCGGAATCGGAATCGGAATCGGAATCGGCCTTGCCAGGGTGAGCCGCGAGGGCCCGGCAAGTTGGCACCGGGGCGCCAGCCACATGTGAAACATGGAAGACGGCGGAAAGAAAACGACGCCTGGCCGCACAGTTGCGTCGGTCTGCGCGGCAGCCGGGTCAGAGGAGGAGGTGGAGGAGGAGGAGGAGGAGGAGGAGGAGGCGGGGAAAGTGGAAAACAACAATCATCATGTGGGGAAGCCTTCACTCACAGAACGACCTTTCATATGTGGCCCAGTTGGGCGTGCGGGCTGCTTCCAGCATGTCGTTCAGAGTTGCTGTGTCTTCACGAACATGTGTTCTGACATGTGCCAAAAGATCATCTAACCATCGTTTTTTTCTGCCGCCCTTGCCGTCGATGAGCTTGTCGAGGGAGCACTTGGTCTGGATTCCATAGCAAAACAATATTCGCCCATTCTGCTCCGGAGAGGGCGGCGATGCGGGAGACCCATCTCCATCGTCGCCGCTGGACTTCTGTAACCCAGTCCGCGGCGCCCAACTTCGCGAGTTGATGCTCGGCGTAATGCGTGGAGCGTCGCATCCAGTCGACCCACGGCTCCATTTCGATATCTACATCGACAATGTTATCGGCAATCTGGTCGGGCGGGGAAGAGGGATTGGATGCGACGTCGCCCCCTGATGATCGCGATGATGCAAGACGCGGGGTAACGGAGGCATGTACAGCATCTTCATGGGCCGGACTCGTCACAGGCACGGCACGCAATGCTTGTTCGAGGCGCCGTCGCGGCACTTGGACTATCATGCGCAGCATCTGCCTGTGAGTGCGTCGAAGCCGTCCCAAGACATCTACCGCGGGGACCCAGGCTTCGCATCCGTAAAGAACTGTAGGGGTAACACAGGCGTTGAAGAGTTTCAAGCGGCTCGCCAAGGAATAAGTTCTAGAAGTGAGCTCCTGCTTTAGTACGTGGAATTTCCGCCATCCAATTTTGATCCGGTTCTCCACCTCGGCCATGTTGGCATCGCTGAACTGCAACTTCCTGCCAAGATACTTGGTTGACTTATATCCCGGCAACACTTCGATCGCCACGTCGCCGATGGTCACATAATTGTCCAATTTCCGACGTCGTGAAACAGGAAATCCATTACATAAGATTTTAGTTTTGTCTGGGTGACGCTGCAGTCCCACTTCTGCGGCCTCTGTACGCAAGTCGACAATCATGGTCTTGATGTGCGTAAAGGACGTCGCTGCCAAGAGGAGATCATCAGCAAAACGTAAATTGGTTAGCCTCTCGCCTACGTGGCTGACCGGAACACCTATTGATGACGCCCGCCATTTAGATTTTGCTTTGCGTAATACTGCTTCCGATACAGCGTTGAACAATAAAGAACTAAGCGGGTCGCCTTGTTTGACGCCACGTTGGATGCTGAACGTCTTGCTGGTTCTGTCTGTTTTCACGGCTCCCGATCGCTTCTGGTATAACTTGGCGAGGACGTCAATGTAGCACGGCGGAACACCTTGGTTCTGTAATGCACTCCAAATACTCGAATGTGTGACACTGTCAAACGCCTTCTTGAAATCGACTGCCGCGAAATATAATGGTATTTGCCATTCCTCCGCAGCTTCTTGAAGCATCGTAGTTGTGAACAGGTGATCTGTCGTACTGCGCCGCGGTCTAAAACCAGCTTGGTCCGCGCACTGTTGATCGTCAAGGATACGGCACAATCTGTTGTACAACAATCGTGAAAAGACTTTGTATAATACCGGCATGCTGGCAATAGGGCGGTAGTTGTTCGGCAGCTGGGGGTCGCCACTTTTGAAGAGCACTTTGATGACAGTATGCCCCCAACCTGCTGGCGTGGGAGCGTCTGGCTTGATGACGTTGTTGTACAAGTCGAGCAGACACCGTCGCAGTAGACCACCGCCTTTCTTCAGCATCTCTGCCACTATGCCGTTCTGGTCAGCTGCCTTGTTGTTTTTGAGCCCACGTAAAACATGATCCAACTCATCTCCCGTAAAATCCGGCATGATAGCGTCTGCGCTGGAATCCTGTTTGTACGGATTGCCATTCTTATGAATATCTTGGTAAAGAGCCTGGTAAAAGTCAGCGAAAACGTTTGCGATACTCTGCCGGTCCCGAACTATATTCCCACCTTGGGATGCCATCTCTGTTATGAATTCCTTGTGCTTGCTCGACTTCATGCCAGAGATGCTCTTGAGGCCCTGAGATTTCTGGAGAATTTCGTCGATTGCCGTTCGTCTGCAAGCTCTCTTGATAGCACGGGTCTCCTTCTTGATCAATTTGCTCAAATGCCGCCGGGTAGGAAAATCTGTCATAGGCGTGTCGCGGCGTCTCTGCATGAGCGTACGCACGGTTTCAGATGCAAGTCGGCTCGTGCTTCCGGTCTCCTCTCTTTGGGACACATGTTGGAGTGCATCTCTGAGCTGTTCTTCAATAATCTCGCAAGTGATCTGGAGGCGACTGTACGCGAGCACGTGCTCCAAGCGATCGGTGAGCGTGTTCACATAGCTGTCGATACTACATGGTGGCCACTTTGGAATGTTGTTCTTGGACTTCGGACTCCGCTTCGTCGTAGTCTCCTTCCTCTCTGGGGCCAAAGGCAAAGATAATTGGAGACGAAGTGCGCGATGATCTGAACCAAGATCAAGATCAAGAACGGCTTCACAATCCCGGACAGTGGCCCAAACGGGCTTGCTAGCCAAGAAGTAGTCAAGTTGTTTCTTATCCCTTTGTGGCGAGATGTAGGTATAGAGCTGGTGGTCATGTTTGTAAAAGAAGGTGTTCAATATTCTTAGTCGCGTGGAGGCCGCCCATTGCTTCAACCAGAGGCCCCGGACATTCGTGTCGCCATAAGCATACTGCCCCACCACGCGCTTGGCGTCTTCCTCGGTCTGCTGGCCCACTTTCGCGTTGCAGTCGGTCCCTATAATCATCATGCGCTTCTCCTTTTGGGCTTCTTGGCTGATGCACTTCAGAATGTCGT